ACTGTACTTCTTTTCTTCTTGTAGCTCTTGGGGATGCAAAGTCCCTCTTTTGAAATGAAGCTTTTTATAAGTACTTGCATTTCATTACGTGCATTTTCTCTCTTTTTTTTTTGTTTGAAAGACCATGATAGCTCCAACACCTGGGGAGCAATTTGACTGGCCTGCTCGATTGGTTCAGCTTCGTCATTGCTAAGGATCGTACACACCCGCGGGGTCTCACCCTTTGTGGAAGTTTGTTCCTTCTTTTCATTCGGAGGAAGGAGTCCTTGAACTCTGCCTCCAGGGTCTTACCCTCCGAGGAGGCTTGCTCCTGTTTTTCCTTCGGGGGCAGGAGTCCTTGAACTCTACCCCTGGGGCCTTACCCTTCCAGAAGGATTGCTCCTGTTTTTTATTCGGAGGTAGGAGTCCTTGAACTCTGCTTCCAAGGCCTTACCCTTCCAAGAGGCTTGCTCCAATTTGTCATTCAAAGGCAGGAGTCCTTTAACTTTGCCTCCAGGGCCTTACCCTTTCAGGAGGCTTGCTCCTGTTTTTCCTTCGGGGGCAAGAGTCCTTGAACTCTGCCCCCAGGGTCTTACCTTTTCAGGAGGCTTGCTCCTGTTTTTCATTCGGAGGCAGGAGTCCTTGAACTCTGCCTCTAGGGTCTTACCCTTCTAGGAGGCTTGCTCCTATTTTTCCTTCGAGGGCAGGAGTCCTTGAACTCTGCCCCCAGGGCCTTACCCTTGTAATTTAGCTGTTGATAAGCACTGAGGGAAATAACACTCAAAAATAGTACTTCTTTAGATTTATCACATTCCAAGATCGTATTATAGGTTTCCCTCCCATATCTTCTAATCTATATGATCTGGAGCCTCCTATAGATACTACTTTGTAAGGTCCAACCCAGTTAGGTCTCATTTTCCCTTCTGCTGGGTCACGGGTACTGGCCGTTATCCTTCTCAGAACCAGATCGCCATTTCAAAACCCTCGAGTCTTGACTCTTTTGTTGTAAAGTCGAAAAATCCTTTCCTGATACTTGGCTACTCTCAAGGCGGCTATTTCTCTTCTTTCCTCTGGCAGATCCAAATCCAGGCCAAGTTGATGGTCGTTGCCCCCCGTGTTGACGGCTTGCGTTCTTATGTTTGGGAGCCCCACTTCTAGAGGTATGATTGTTTCCATCCCGTAAGCCAGAGAGTAAGGGGTTTCCCTTGTCGAGGCCTGAGGGGTGGTCCTATATGCCCATAAAATGTTCAATAGTTCATCCGCCCACTTTTCCTTAGCTTTCTCCAATCTCTTCTTGATCTCATTGACAATCGTTTTGTTAGAGGCTTCTGCCTGCCCATTGGCTTGGGGGTAGGCAGGGGTGGAATAGAAATTACGGATCCCGAGTTACTCGCAAAAAGATTTGAAGCGTCCGTCTGTGAACTGAGTCTCGTTATCTGATACAAGTGCTCGGAGAATCCCAAATCTGATGACTATGTTTCCCCAGACAAATTTTTTAGCATCTATGTCGCGGATGTAAGTCAATGGCTCCGCCTCAACCCACTTGGTGAAGTAATCCGTTGCCACAATGAGAAACTTCTTGTTTTCAGGAGCCTTAGGCAGGGGTCCAACCGAGTCGAGCCCCCACTGGGCGAATGGCCAAGGGCTTGTTAAGGGGTGCAAGTCCCCCGCAGGCTGTTTGATTGCCGGGGAGAACCTCTGACATTGGTTGCATTTCTGGACATATGCGTGTGCATCCCTTTGCATCCGCGGCCACCAATATCCTTGAGACATGATGCGGTATGCCATGGATCCCCCCCCCAGAGTGTCCCCCACATATTCCTTCGTGTACCTCATAAAGGAGGTCTTCCACCAGATCCTACATTGAATCAACTAAGAAAAGAAATATTATTTCTAAAACTCTATCTAAAATTCTACATTCTACAATATTGTTGAAGAATAGCACTATAATACTTGGGAAAAAAANTATATTGAGTCAATAAACTCAGTGAATTAGAAGATGATATTATTTGTATGGTAAAAATTAATTATTAAAGAAAATCACGTCCTATTATTTAAATGGGTTGATGATGTTATCTTGAGTAAGCTCATAAGTTTTGTCCATATCAAATCCTGCAGGTGGATTTAATTATCTGACATGACAAATAAGTTGAGTGGTAAAGTCTCAAGGAATAAAAGAGGTCAATTAAATATAATTATCAGTAATTTATTTAATTGATGGACATCTATAATCTTAAATGTGGGAAGATTAGCTCGAAACGTAATTTTGAGATAAAGTTCATGAGATCAATAATAAATTTTTAGTGAATTAACTTATTATTAATGGATTACAGAATATTTGTTCTGGGTTGAATATAGGAATCCTAGGTCCATTGGAAGCCCGACATTTATTTCTCCTTAGAGTTTCTATCGTATCTTATAAATAGACGTCTAAACTCTCTAAATCAACATCACCTTTATTACTTACGTTTTGAGGGAGACTGAGAAAGAGAGCAGAAATTTGGGAGTTTTTGCAGCCCACATTGCATCCGAATTTTTGCGTTTGAGGATATACGACAGAAAATTGTGAGGTTCATCAAGCTGTTTTCTGCATTTGTCTTTTAGATTATGAGTTCGTGCTGAGACGAGATCAATCTAGAGCGATATCGAAGGTAAATCCTAATTTTGCTTTATAGGGTTTTAATGAAAAAAATTTTGTATTTGATACATACGAGTGTCAATGATTCTTGTGATTTACATTTCAACAGTCTTCAACTGAGCAGATAAGATCCTAGGAATTTGAATTCAGTCCAACTATAGCTGCATATTTATAGAATCTGTTATATCTCTCCTTATATAAATAAGAAGACTTGTACATTGAATCAACTAAGAAAAGAAATATTATTTCTAAAACTCTATCTAAAATTCTACATTCTACAATATTGTTGAAGAATAGCACTATAATACTTGGGAAAAAAAATGGTATTATAATGATAGTTACTATTTAAGTCAAGTTATTTCTTTTAAAGTTAGGAATGCATAGACGTCTACACTCTCTAAATCAACATCACATTTACTACTCACGTTTTGAGGGAGGCTAAGAGAGAGAGAGGGGGAGAGTAGAAATTCGGGAGTACTTGCAGCCCACATTGCATCCAAATTTTGGTATTTGGGGGTATACGACAGAAGATCGTGAGATTCATTAAGCTGTTTTTTGCATCTATCTTTTAGATTTTTAATCATGCTAAGACGAGATCAATCTAGAGTGATCTCGAAGGTAAACCCTAATTCCGCTTTGCAGGGTTTTAATGGAAAAAATTTTGTATTTGATATATAGACGTTGTCAATGATTCTTGAGACTTGCGTTTCAACAATCTTCAGCTGAGAACATAAGATCCTGGGAATTTGAATTCAGTCCAACTATAAATAAGAAGACTTGTTTATCTCTGCTACATCTCTCCTTCTATAAATAAGAAAACTTGTACATTGAATCAATTAAGAAAAGAAATACTATTTCTAAATCTGTATCTAAAATCCTATATTCTACAATATTGTTGAAGAATAGCACTATAATACTAGGGAAAAAAAATGGTATTATAATGATTGTTACTATTTAAGTCATGTCTTTTAAAGTTAGGAGTATAATTGTTGAATATAAATCATGATTGATCATAAGTTACTGTATTCATCAATAACTTCACATTTAAAAATTGTAACTTTCTTGATCAATTATAACATTTTATGACTAACGGCCCTTGAAGTGATAAAATTACATCCCAAAAATTATAATTTGGCCTTAAAACGATCTAATTTATAGCTTTTTGATACTGTAATCTTCTTCATAAAACGTTCTAATTTATAGTGTGATTACTCTTTCTGATACTGTAGTCTTCTTCTTGTTACATGTGTTGCGAAATATTGGATTTTCTGCCCTATCCTAGAGACTACGGAGATTGAATCGGGCGTTTACCAGAACCTAGAAATGGCCTGTGTCTAGGTCAAGGGTGGAGGCTAAAGGATGTTCGTCAGTTTTTCAGCTGAAGTGCTTACCTCAACGAATGAATCTCCAGCTGAAAAAAAATTGAATTTGATGAGTTTTCAGATAGCTTCAAATATCTCACAGAACATTACAAACTCAGGTGACCATCCAGAAAACTATCCATACTCAAGTATATTTTGCCAAATCATGGGCGAAGAATTTATTTCTAATCTCACGAACAACAGCAGCATCCTTAAAAACATGAAAACCCGAGGGATATTTGCATAAATAGCTATGAAAGGCTAAAAGAGTGAGGCATCCTTATCACGAACAACGGCAAGCATGTTACAACAATCACCTTACAGTGCAACATTCCTAAAAAAAATGACGACCCAATGCAACGATAAAACAATTTAAACCTCGAATACAAAATCTAGCGTTATGCTTGGCTGGTTAAATCAACGAACCCATCAAATACAACCACATCATATTCTATGGGCAAATCGAAGCATAAAACATTGCAAGAGAGACAACAAACAAAAAATCAGAAGCAGCTGTATTCTATAGTTTGATAGCCAGGGCTGGCAATCATTTTCAAAGCAGACAAATATAAGAGTTTACAGTGCACCAAAAGAAAAATCCATGGAATAGTTGGAAAGCATCGTATATGTTTAACATGAATGATACTAATAATTCTCACACTGCTACGACAAAAGGTGCATTCAGCTCTGGTGTCACTTGCGCGCTTCCACTTTCTTCAATTTCCAACCTTCCATTACCATCGCATTCAAATTCATGAAGATCTTGATGATTTTCAGGACGTTGGCTAGACAGTAGATATGCTACACCCTGCACAAGATCCACGGCTGCACCCTTGACCTGAGGAAGCAGCTACAGCGCCCATTTGCTTGCAGTCATCGCTAAAACCTTCACCAATAAGTGCCCCAATAGAATCTTTCAGGATGGAAAGGTCTTTACCATGCTCAGTGTTAGGACCATGATTTATATTTGAAATACTCTATATGTTTCACGAGGTTTTGTGTTTAGTGTTTGTTTTACAGGACTTTGGTTCTTTCAAGTTCATATTTATGAAGATAGTCTTCTCATTAGAGAGAGTAATAATGTACTCGAGTTTATAAGTTTAGGTTATAACAGTTCGACCCGAGTAGACAATCTGGCCTGGAAAAAATCATCTGAGGTTGCACTTCATCCTTTCCATTGTCCCATGCAGAAACCCAGTCAACTGGTTCTTGCTTAATTTTGAATCCTTCAAGATAACACAGGACATCACATCAATATAAAAGCGAACTTCATCCACAATGCTAGTTCTCAACTCAACCAACTAATACTACTGTGAAATAAATTATTCTCACCTGGCACAGTCACGGCTGACTGGTGTTCATTAGTTGAGCTTCTACTGATAGATTCGTGTACACTGAAAACTGATGCAGCAGAATAACCCAGAGGAGAGATTGGATCACCATACACTTCCCATCCTGTCCGATGGAGATTCTGAGTCAAAGTGTCCACTACATTGTCAGGGGTAAGAGAGGCATTAGGAGTCTGCTGGCATGAACTGTTCTTTGAGTTTTTCAGTGTTTGCGACTCATAAAGTACAGCTTCTAACAGGCCACTGTTCCGTGATGAAAGACAATCGAGTTGCATCTGCTCAGTGGGAGGGGACCAGATCAAAGTATCAACAGACTCGCGAGAAGGCAGCGGGGAAGGTGACCCACAGCTGCCTACTTGAGTGTCTGAATATTGGAGTGAAGGGAGCTCCAGCTTCATTGCCCATGAGAAGGGCTCCGAAGAAGAGGAATTGCCATTTAAAAGTGCATGGCTGCCTGGAAGTAAACATGAAGTTGATGGGTGGTTGGCATGAATATTATGATCATATGCACAGGAAAACCCAAGGGAGTGAGCAAGCTTCTCACAAGCATCATCTTGATATTGATTAAATGCTGGAAAGAGATCACCCAGACTACCACTCAAACCAGTATGCAAGGACTCTGATTCTCGAAGACGCTTGGCTGGATGCATCATTGCGAAAGAAGAGTTATTGCTATGGAAGGAACCAGGACTGTGAACAAGCAAGCTATTCCCAGAAACATCAAGAAGTGATTGTGGATACAATTGCTGATTGAGTTCCAAATTTTTGAATTCCACAGACGGAATCTCAAAGTGGTTGCTCAGTAAGAGATCAGGGCTGGGTCTGTCCTCATAAGAGAATGTACTCACGTTCTGACTTTGTTGGTCCTCATTTAATGCTTGCAAACAGATATCAGGAGGGTAAATTGACAAGCCAGCGCGCTGTCGTCTCTTGATTCTAGTGTTCCAGTAGTTCTTTATCTCATTATCGGTGCGCCCAGGCAGCTGAAAGGGAATAAAAATGAATAGTAAATAAACCAGACAGAAAAAGAATGACACTAACATTTTGTCCATTTCAACCAAAGACAAAACAAAAAACTCAAAACCCATCTATAATGCTGCATAATGCAATTGAATATTGGTAAGCTTGTATTGCTGAATATCATCCTCACATGAGCAAGGCTGCACACGCATTTAACTAATACGAAGCTTTACCCGAAAAAAGCACAACAACATGGTATGTTTTCCTGTATCATATCCACGACAAACCTTTCCAAAAGGCAAAATAAGGAGCATTACTTTCAAAATTTCCAGCATATAACCACAGATTTACCAATTCAGATAATAGATATATATGCCCTGTTTTGTGGAGGATGCCAACAAGCTCAAAAACCATCTATCACCTGTGACATATGCTTTCAAACACGATAATCCTCGACATTCCCAGAAATATTTTGGTAACTTGTCAAGCGTGTCCAAATCTTTTTTGGGAGGAATTTAATAACATACAACGGGCCAAAGCAAGTCAAGTTGAAACATACATCATCAATGAAGGAAAAAATCCTGGCTGTGGAGACAAGACAAGTGATCGACACACTTCGAAATAAATTGGTGACAGATTCTAAATGTCTATTTTATTTTTAAAAGAAGCATAAACCCATACACGACTAAAGCAAGTCAAGTTGCAATCAAACGATTGCAAAAGAATATCACTGAAAAAGAAAGAAGATAAGGCAGCAGTCCCCTACATTAAAATTCAAGAACTATAGATATAACACTCATGAAGATTCATCTTCTATATTGTACAACTAATGGCCAGTCAGACAGTCACGTCAGACGTCAGGGTGTATGAACAGAACTTCTTTGATTATTTGGATGCACCATTCAAAGTAAAACATACGATTTTGTAAACCAAATATAAAGATCGTGAATGGGCTTAGAAGCGCATCAAGACGTGGTGGGCAAAAGGGGACACAATCAATAATTCAATACACTTTCAATTAGGCCTTGCTCTTGCTACTTTAAGCGTTATTATTTCCTTGGTAGCTCAACTCCTAGGAGTAAGCACGGATACGGGTATAATATGATACGGATACTATAAAGTGAACGTGATCAATTAAAGGAATAAGAATCAACATTTAACTATATTGTTTGCTTAGAAGTATTTGTTGCTAAAATTATAAAGCAATTAACTCATTTAAAGTACTCTTTGAATATGTGATAGTGGATAATACTTGGAAAACACCCATGTGTCTTCCAAATCATATGGCTTTTTGTTGATATATTGCATAGTATGTGAAATCAAAAGGAAGGAGTAAAGATTAAAACTAAAAAATATACATCCTTCTCTGCATATAGAAGTATCCAAATATTTTATTTATTATTGGATACGTCAAATGTGTATCCGATATGTATATTTGAGAATCCGACGAGTATCGTATTCGATACGATAGTTGATACAGATACGTCGAGTATCCATACTTCATAGCTCAACTCATATGATAAAAAATAGAAATATACCATGACAACTGATAAACTAAGAAATCTTCATGGCATATGAACGGCAATTGAATACCTAATTGGAAAAGCTAGCCAAAGAATCAATCATCCCAAATAAACCTAATGATGCACCAATTTATTATAACACCTCATATCTGCATTGTACATCATAATCTACTTTGGACTAAGCCTGGACAGCTTTAAAAAACGATGTACAACGAAAACCTGAGTTTCAGACTTTTGTGTTTCCCACTTAGTTTAGTGTGTGTGGAGCATTTAATAAGTCTGAGATTGAGANTGCTTTGGACTAAGCCTGGACGGCTTTAAAAAACGATGTACAACGAAAGCCTGAGTTTCAGACTTTTGTGTTTCCCACTTAGTTTAGTGTGTGTGGAGCATTTAANTACTTTGGACTAAGCCTGGACAGCTTTAAAAAACGATGTACAACGAAAACCTGAGTTTCAGACTTTTGTGTTTCCCACTTAGTTTAGTGTGTGTGGAGCATTTAATAAGTCTGAGATTGAGACCACTATTGCACATGTGTTAAACCGTGCAAGTCTAGCTCAAAGGAATAATATTGTATAGTCTGAGTCCAAATCGTTACAAATGGTATCATAGACNTATGCTTGGCTGGTTAAATCAACGAACCCATCAAATACAACCACATCATATTCTATGGGCAAATCGAAGCATAAAACATTGCAAGAGAGACAACAAACAAAAAATCAGAAGCAGCTGTATTCTATAGTTTGATAGCCAGGGCTGGCAATCATTTTCAAAGCAGACAAATATAAGAGTTTACAGTGCACCAAAAGAAAAATCCATGGAATAGTTGGAAAGCATCGTATATGTTTAACATGAATGATACTAATAATTCTCACACTGCTACGACAAAAGGTGCATTCAGCTCTGGTGTCACTTGCGCGCTTCCACTTTCTTCAATTTCCAACCTTCCATTACCATCGCATTCAAATTCATGAAGATCTTGATGATTTTCAGGACGTTGGCTAGACAGTAGATATGCTACACCCTGCACAAGATCCACGGCTGCACCCTTGACCTGAGGAAGCAGCTACAGCGCCCATTTGCTTGCAGTCATCGCTAAAACCTTCACCAATAAGTGCCCCAATAGAATCTTTCAGGATGGAAAGGTCTTTACCATGCTCAGTGTTAGGACCATGATTTATATTTGAAATACTCTATATGTTTCACGAGGTTTTGTGTTTAGTGTTTGTTTTACAGGACTTTGGTTCTTTCAAGTTCATATTTATGAAGATAGTCTTCTCATTAGAGAGAGTAATAATGTACTCGAGTTTATAAGTTTAGGTTATAACAGTTCGACCCGAGTAGACAATCTGGCCTGGAAAAAATCATCTGAGGTTGCACTTCATCCTTTCCATTGTCCCATGCAGAAACCCAGTCAACTGGTTCTTGCTTAATTTTGAATCCTTCAAGATAACACAGGACATCACATCAATATAAAAGCCAACTTCATCCACAATGCTAGTTCTCAACTCAACCAACTAATACTACTGTGAAATAAATTATTCTCACCTGGCACAGTCACGGCTGACTGGTGTTCATCAGTTGAGCTTCTACTGATAGATTCGTGTACACTGAAAACTGATGCAGCAGAATAACCCAGAGGAGAGATTGGATCACCATACACTTCCCATCCTGTCCGATGGAGATTCTGAGTCAAAGTGTCCACTACATTGTCAGGGGTAAGAGAGGCATTAGGAGTCTGCTGGCATGAACTGTTCTTTGAGTTTTTCAGTGTTTGCGACTCATAAAGTACAGCTTCTAACAGGCCACTGTTCCGTGATGAAAGACAATCGAGTTGCATCTGCTCAGTGGGAGGGGACCAGATCAAAGTATCAACAGACTCGCGAGAAGGCAGCGGGGAAGGTGACCCACAGCTGCCTACTTGAGTGTCTGAATATTGGAGTGAAGGGAGCTCCAGCTTCATTGCCCATGAGAAGGGCTCCGAAGAAGAGGAATTGCCATTTAAAAGTGCATGGCTGCCTGGAAGTAAACATGAAGTTGATGGGTGGTTGGCATGAATATTATGATCATATGCACAGGAAAACCCAAGGGAGTGAGCAAGCTTCTCACAAGCATCATCTTGATATTGATTAAATGCTGGAAAGAGATCACCCAGACTACCACTCAAACCAGTATGCAAGGACTCTGATTCTCGAAGACGCTTGGCTGGATGCATCATTGCGAAAGAAGAGTTATTGCTATGGAAGGAACCAGGACTGTGAACAAGCAAGCTATTCCCAGAAACATCAAGAAGTGATTGTGGATACAATTGCTGATTGAGTTCCAAATTTTTGAATTCCACAGACGGAATCTCAAAGTGGTTGCTCAGTAAGAGATCAGGGCTGGGTCTGTCCTCATAAGAGAATGTACTCACGTTCTGACTTTGTTGGTCCTCATTTAATGCTTGCAAACAGATATCAGGAGGGTAAATTGACAAGCCAGCGCGCTGTCGTCTCTTGATTCTAGTGTTCCAGTAGTTCTTTATCTCATTATCGGTGCGCCCAGGCAGCTGAAAGGGAATAAAAATGAATAGTAAATAAACCAGACAGAAAAAGAATGACACTAACATTTTGTCCATTTCAACCAAAGACAAAACAAAAAACTCAAAACCCATCTATAATGCTGCATAATGCAATTGAATATTGGTAAGCTTGTATTGCTGAATATCATCCTCACATGAGCAAGGCTGCACACGCATTTAACTAATACGAAGCTTTACCCGAAAAAAGCACAACAACATGGTATGTTTTCCTGTATCATATCCACGACAAACCTTTCCAAAAGGCAAAATAAGGAGCATTACTTTCAAAATTTCCAGCATATAACCACAGATTTACCAATTCAGATAATAGATATATATGCCCTGTTTTGTGGAGGATGCCAACAAGCTCAAAAACCATCTATCACCTGTGACATATGCTTTCAAACACGATAATCCTCGACATTCCCAGAAATATTTTGGTAACTTGTCAAGCGTGTCCAAATCTTTTTTGGGAGGAATTTAATAACATACAACGGGCCAAAGCAAGTCAAGTTGAAACATACATCATCAATGAAGGAAAAAATCCTGGCTGTGGAGACAAGACAAGTGATCGACACACTTCGAAATAAATTGGTGACAGATTCTAAATGTCTATTTTATTTTTAAAAGAAGCATAAACCCATACACGACTAAAGCAAGTCAAGTTGCAATCAAACGATTGCAAAAGAATATCACTGAAAAAGAAAGAAGATAAGGCAGCAGTCCCCTACATTAAAATTCAAGAACTATAGATATAACACTCATGAAGATTCATCTTCTATATTGTACAACTAATGGCCAGTCAGACAGTCACGTCAGACGTCAGGGTGTATGAACAGAACTTCTTTGATTACTTGGATGCACCATTCAAAGTAAAACATACGATTTTGTAAACCAAATATAAAGATCGTGAATGGGCTTAGAAGCGCATCAAGACGTGGTGGGCAAAAAGGGACACAATCAATAATTCAATACACTTTCAATTAGGCCTTGCTCTTGCTACTTTAAGCGTTATTATTTCCTTGGTAGCTCAACTCCTAGGAGTAAGCACGGATACGGGTATAATATGATACGGATACTATAAAGTGAACGTGATCAATTAAAGGAATAAGAATCAACATTTAACTATATTGTTTGCTTAGAAGTATTTGTTGCTAAAATTATAAAGCAATTAACTCATTTAAAGTACTCTTTGAATATGTGATAGTGGATAATACTTGGAAAACACCCATGTGTCTTCCAAATCATATGGCTTTTTGTTGATATATTGCATAGTATGTGAAATCAAAAGGAAGGAGTAAAGATTAAAACTAAAAAATATACATCCTTCTCTGCATATAGAAGTATCCAAATATTTTATTTATTATTGGATACGTCAAATGTGTATCCGATATGTATATTTGAGAATCCGACGAGTATCGTATTCGATACGATAGTTGATACAGATACGTCGAGTATCCATACTTCATAGCTCAACTCATATGATAAAAAATAGAAATATACCATGACAACTGATAAACTAAGAAATCTTCATGGCATATGAACGGCAATTGAATACCTAATTGGAAAAGCTAGCCAAAGAATCAATCATCCCAAATAAACCTAATGATGCACCAATTTATTATAACACCTCATATCTGCATTGTACATCATAATCTACTTTGGACTAAGCCTGGACAGCTTTAAAAAACGATGTACAACGAAAACCTGAGTTTCAGACTTTTGTGTTTCCCACTTAGTTTAGTGTGTGTGGAGCATTTAATAAGTCTGAGATTGAGACCACTATTGCACATGTGTTAAACCGTGCAAGTCTAGCTCAAAGGAATAATATTGTATAGTCTGAGTCCAAATCGTTACAAATGGTATCATAGACACTGACCCTCATGCGTGGACGCTACATGTTGCGCATCTCTTGATGCACTACGATTAGACACAGCAATGGCTTTGGGACAGTGACAGCTAATATGGCAGGAGAATTCCAACGAAATTCAACACCTCTTGGGTCACGAGGATGTTTGGACTTAAGGGATGGATTGTAGAGACTCAGTCACACATTACTCGGTGAAGTGTGTCGACATAATAAAATAGAGTTGTGGACCTTCATTGGATAACCCGCCTCAAAGTAGTGCGAACATAGCCTAAAGTGGACAATATTGTACAATATTGGGTCCACGATGTCACATAATCGGTAGGATGTTCTCTCCCTGAAGTTAAGTCTTACTGAAAAAACTTTAAAAATTACACTGCTCTTTATAATCATTAATACACCTAGAACTACTTTGTAACATGTGATCAATTGACGCTCCTAGAAATGCTTTGGACACAAACTGTACATGTCTAAATCATTTCAAAAGAAATATAAATCCATAAACGACTAAAGCAAATCAAGTTGCAATCATACGATTGGAAAAGGTAGCCAAAGACTGATCTTCTTGGAGAAACATAATCATGCACAAATAAGTGGAACTGATTTTAAACTCTAAAAATAACACTAGGATATAATCTTTAATACACTTGAGCACCTGTTAGGCCAAAAAGGTCACAATGATTCATAATTTTTGCTCGAAAGAACATTACTACAAGGGAAGAACATGACAACTGTAAAGAGAGCTTGTACTCCATATCGAATAATTAGGACCACCAAGACTGGTTATGAGGGACTACCCACTTATTGTCAATTGATTTTAGGTTGGATGTTTTACCATGGTATCAACTTGGGTGGCCAGTGGGATAAGTCTCTTACTTGTTTGAATTTTTCGGCATGCATGGTTGTTTGTTTATTTATTTATTAGCCCCACTTATGAGCTCAGATCCCACACGAGGGAAGGTGTAAAGAGAGCTTGTATCCCCCATCAAATAATCAGGACCACTAAGTTTAGTTTATATACTTGAGGGGTTACTCTAGTCATTTCTAATTGGTTTTGGATTGAATGCTCTAACAACTACATGGTCTATATATGCTAAAAAATCGGGTTGTATCTGTCTCCTAGAAAATAACATAATAGAAGACCAGCACAAAAAGGGCACAAAATGGAGGTTTTAACCAGGTCTTTTATGGCATAATTAAATTATGCTACTAAATTATATCTTAGTACAAAATAGACAAGGCATAGAAAAAGACTTTTATTATAATTGACTTTTCAGTTTGAGGATTCAAAATCACTTCCCTTCGATACTGTAACAGTTGTATTTTGACATTTATGAAATTCTCTGGAATTTCATCATTTATATCTTAAACCATCTATCTCATGCCAAAAGTTTTTGAGATATCATTTATAATAAATTCACATAACTCATAAAAGAAAAAGATGCATGCCTATATGCAACGAACCTTATTTGGGGTGGATTGTGGGGGTAGGGAGAAATGCATGAGACCTATATCATTAAAGAACATATTAATTTTCTATGACAAAACTGACAGATTCTGACATCCTAACACACCTCCGCAGCCATTCGAGCCCATTTGTTTCCCATCTTGGCATGGAGTTCAATGATATGGTGCTCTTCCTCAGGAGTGAATGCACCTTTCTTAAGATCCGGTCTAAGGTGATTTGCCCAACGTAGACGACAGCTTTTCCCACATCGGGACAGTCCTGAGTGCTTCTGGACAGCATTCCAATTCCCTTCTCCATGCTTGTTGACATATGCTGCTAAAATTGCATCTTCCGCGGATGTCCATGGCCCTTTCTTCAGTGGACCACTTCCTGTCACATTTCCTCCACTGCTAGCTGCAGATGGCGAATCTATGCAACCCATCGACATAATCTTGTCATCACTTCCACTTGTAATACTCATCTCCTAAAGTGCGCAACAAAAGAACGAAACCTGCACATTAGGGGGGAAAAAAAAGCAGAGCGAAGAATGTAACATTAATACAAAGTTTTTAACATAAAACAAAATATGAGGAACCAACAAAAATAAGAAACCCCAATATTAAGAGGCAACAATTAAGACAGATATTCAGTGCACAACAAGTACAAAGCATTGCTGAGAATAAAAATGGAATGCACTTTTTCAAATTTCTTTTATAAGCTAATTATATCTCAAAATATACTAAAAATGCAGAAGCGACTCAATTAACTATGTTAAAAAACACAACCTTAAAATGAGCACAGGTCAAACTAAAGTTTCAAAACATATGATCCCATCAATGCCTAAGAGTGGAACTTATCAGAGAAATACAAGAAGAAACCAACAAAAATAACAAATTGCCAATATTAAAAGAGTAACCAGTGAGATGAATACTAAGAATACAATGAGCATAAAGATTTAGCTGATAACATAAACAGTGCATTTCACAACCACCGAATCATATAGACAGAAACACTACTAGAAAATCCTCAACATAACCCAATGTGTTCTTGAGCTTAAACCTTCAAAGGTGCACATCAACAGTAAAATCCCATTCTTACTGGCGAGTTAAGATTACAACCAAAATTAAGGGTGGAACTAACAAATTTAAGAAACAGCCAATATTTAAAAGCAATCATTCTGAGACGTACTCGGAGTATGAAAAAAACATGACTGATAACATTATCGGAATAAAGGTTACTGTCTAATGAACCAGTAACAATTCAAGAAACACAAGGAAATATACTAAACACAATTTTTCCAAATCTAAACGCTAAAATCTGCACACTTTCAAACAAGTTCCATACAGACAAAATCATTGTGTAATATAAACACAACTAGAAAGAGTTAACAAAGAAATAATCTGAACTTGAGTATATGCTATGAAGACTCATAGACCCACTGTATACTCAACTCAACAAAATTTTATCCCAACTATGTGGATTGTCTACATGAATCTTATTTTTCCATTGTACTTTATCGAGGGTTATTTTTCATTAAATCGTGAGCTATCATAGTTTTTTCACTATTTTTGTTCAAAGTTAATTTCAAACTGCCACTACCACTCGCATTCGAATTGATGTGTACCAAATCACTCTTTCTCACTAGTACATTACTAAGTTTTTTTAAACATATCTAAATCAACTAAATTTATTCTTTCTTAATTTTTCCTTCTATCATTTCACGACTATATTCACTCTAAATTTCTTTCACTTCCTATTTTAACACATCCATCTTAACATCCTCATTCCTACAACAATTTGTTTTGGGGTGCTTTTTTCTAATTCCCCACATTATGTACCCTAAAATATTGTTGATCTAATGGTTGTTTTCTAAAACTTCCCTTTCAACCTAAGAGTTCACAGATCCATTTTTTAAAGATGCAAAATCCTGAAGCACTTTCAGAATTTTGCATCATGTGTTACGATAAAAATTATGCAGTCGTAGAAGTTTTAGGCAAACAACCATGATAGTATTTGTAGAAGAGTAAAGACACAACAAGGAGACTATGAGTTCAAATTCAAGGGCAACTACTTTTGCAAATAATGCCAAAGATTAGGACCAAATTGGGTAAAGTGAAATTCCCAACATCAAAAATAATTAGCATCAACATTTGCCCATATATACATGTGCCCATGAAATACAACACAAAATATGAGAAAAGCGAAGATTTACCCGTATGAAGAAGACCGGTGAAGCTGCGCAGTTGGAGGAAACGAATAAATATAATCCAGACCAGAGATTATCTGAAACCAAAAGAACCCTACGAATAACAACAAATCCCTCAGATTTTCTAGCTCTTCCAATGGAATTTTGAACTCTAGACCAGTAATAAAAAACAATTGAATCTAAAATGAAGAAGATCCAAAAAAATATAAAGTGTTTTCAGTTGTATCGAGACAAAAAAAATTGGAAGAAATTATGAATCACGCAATCATCTAAATCTAAACACAAACCACAGCTGACTATTAAATCGAAGTAAGAATGTGGCCTTCAAATGCCCGACCACGAAACCTTAAATGAGAAGTGTGCAGGCATAGATCTATTCAGTATTACAAAACTAATCACAAAGTAATAACTATTCTAGAAATGCCTAGCCGTAATCGGTGAAGAACGAAGAACTCGATCCAATCATAGAGTTAGAGAGAGAGAGAGAGAGGAGTGAGCTGAATATGAGATTGTAGAGAGAGCGAGAAAGAGAAACAAAGAAGCGAAAGCGAAAAATGGAGGAGAGAGATGGCAGTAGGAGAGAAAAAGATGGGAGAGGAAGACTTGGACTCACCACCAGAGTTGACTCAGTTGAGCAACCAATCTGTCCGTGGGACCCACGGAATTCTTACCCTCGATTCTCATTCGATTAAACTCTAAATTACAAAATTACAATTAAGTTCACTTAATTCTATAATCAACCCACTATTGATTAAATTCATCCAATTTTTTACTATTAGGATTTTTTTTATACCTCATCTCACACAACCTATAAGAAAATATACTCAAATTAATTATCTAGTATAGATCTCTAGAGTGACATTCAAGTTAGTATTAATTTTAAGTTTATTTTATTTTGTTGTACGTATTTTTTCATCAATAACAATAATTTTTATTTAAATATTATACATATTATATATAAGACTAAATATATACAAATACACAAACTTAACTTACTATTTTTTTTTGTTGAAGAGAAATTCACATTTAGAATCTAGTTGTTGGTATTTTGGCACATCTTGAAAGATTCAAATTTTTATTCAAATCAAAGAACACTCAAATTTTAACGTAAATCACCAATAGTTAAATTTTAATCTAATGGTTATATTCTATCCTTTTTTAAATTGGGTTTTCCTCATTTAAATTTGGTGTAGGTAATCAAAAACATATATGAAAGCGTAAAATCAAAAACGTACCTGTTTTGCGTTTTAATCCAAAAATGTTTGAGAATGTTCCACGTTTTCTTAGAATCTAAAAATTGTCTCTTTTTTATTGCTCGAGCATTATGGTGTTTTCACACATGAAGAATCAACATCATATTTCCACAACACAAACCTTTTAAGGTTATGTAGAAAGAGAGGGAGAGTTTTAACGGTAAGAGTCTTTCTGATGATATCTATTAGGTTGTCTCAGAGTTTATATAGGCAACCAATAGTTGTCTTTAAGAGACACATCCTATAGTACATGTCTGTCAACCTTTAACATATATATATACAACGATCGGGAGTATTGAGACCAATTTATATGTACCTCAATTAATCTCCTCCTTGATCTAGTCAAAGGCAAGTCATCCACACCGGGATTAGGGTATTCATGAAGAATAAATCTTTCATATATATATTTTTTTAACTCAGGCGACAGGTACAAAGTCATGTACTTTTAAGGCAAAAGGTCCATAAAATACAAAGTTAACAAAATACGCTTAATGAATGAGGTTATTTAAAAATTCCACAATATCCCATTACCACCAGCCATCCCCCACCTCCGATAGGTCGGAGCCAGAAAATCGTTTCAGGGTGGGCTCTGAATATTTTAATAAGCTTAATTTTTTTTTCTTGCAATTGATAAAATAGGATAATACATTTATTTTTAATTACATCCTATTTAATTCTTAAAAGTTCATTATACTTTAAAGACTAAAATTGATAAGCATAGTAAATAAAAATGACAAAAAAAATATTGTAATTATATCTTTTTACAAAGTTATTGAGAATCAAGACACTATCTAGAATATAGAGAAGAGTCTGAGCACTGCAGGTAAGAGCCTCACTGAGATGAATGTAAATTCTGATCACAAGGAGGAAATCAATCAAGAGAAGAGTTGTTGTGAGATATTTTTGCATANATTGTAATTATATCTTTTTACAAAGCTATTGAGAATCAAGACACTATCTAGAATATAGAGAGGAGTCTGAGCACTGCAGGTAAGAGCCTCACTGAGATGAATGTAAATTTTGATCACAAGGAGGAAATCAATCAAGAGAAGAGTTGTTGTGAGATATTTTTGCATAGGAGTTTTGTTGGGACTTTACCTACTAAAAATTTGGTATCAAGTGATGGAAGACCTCCATTAACAGAAGACTATACCAATCGGTGACTGTTAGTCGTTAGAACAAAGTGTTGTAGATAATTTCATTATCATGTTATCATTTATTTTGATGTAATCTAGTCCTTAATTCTTGTATGTTCTTAGCTGGTATAAATGAGAGAAAGTTTATACCTCTCCTCACTAATTTTGGCTGAGGTCATATTACTTGTTTTCAATTCTCTTCATGGTATCAGAGCCAGATAGTACCTCAACTAAAATGGCTACTTCTATTACTCTCGAAAATCTCTCTTTACTCTCTTCTATGGTGAATGTTAAACTCACCTCTAAGAATTATTTGACTTGGAGGAGTCAAATTCTTGACATTACTATTGGGGCTGATATCTTAGATCACTTAACCAATTATGCTTAGCATCCAAAACCAATGATAACTGGAAAGGATGAAACTAATCCCGCCTACACTACCTGGAGAAAGACCGATCGTCTACTGTCTCATCTCCGGTACAGTTTTTGAAAGTATACTAAGTCATATAATAGGTCTAGAATCATCACTTAAGGTATGATGTTATTTAGAACAAAGTTTTGTTTCCACTTCTAAGGCAAAAGAATTCAATCTTAAATGTGGTCTACAACGAATTCACAAAGAAAATTTTGAATCTGTGGCATATTTTTTGGCCAAATTCAAGCAAATTTGTGATGAACTTAGTGCTATAAAGAAGACCATGATTGATTCTGATAAGGTAATGTGGGCAATGAATGGTCTAGGACCAAAATTTGATCCACTAATCAATGTAATCATGGCAAAACCCCCATTCCCCACATTCTCACAATTTGTTCAGTCTTTAACAAGTTACTAAGCAAGGAATAAACTACACCCTAACAATGAAGAAGTTCATGATTTTCAAGCTTTTTATGCTCAGAAGGATAACTATAGATAAGGAGTTAACAACAACTTCAACAAATCCAAAGGAAAGAATGTCACATTCAGTTCAAGAGGGCATGGCTTTAAGCAAACACCTAGTGCCAGGGATCAGCAAGTGAAAGGCATACAACAAGACAACACTAAATGTAAAATTCGGGTAAATTTAAATTTTTTATAAAAAGGGCAAAACGGTAATTTGCTACTACAGTACGGATTGAAACCTGAATTTTTTTAAATCTNAAGGGTAAAACGGTAATTTGCCACTACATTACGGATTGAAACCTGAATTTTTTTAAATCTCGGATGATGAAATGGACCTCACCGTTAGATTCGTCTCGCGAAATCTAGTTACTCTGTCAAATTTCATNAGGGCAAAACGGTAATTTGCTACTACAGTACGGATTGAAACCTGAATTTTTTTAAATCTCGGATGATGAAACGGACCTCACCGTTAGATTCGTCTCGTGAAATCTAGTTACCCTGTCAAATTTCATCGAATTTTGAAATAGTTGAGTTTTTTATGTTTTACGAGGTAGTCGAGTCTCGGATCAACCAAAAACGGAATTTTTAATAAAAAGTCAAAATTTGGAAAATAATTTAAGGCAAATTAAAATAAATTTATTTTGAACTTGAATCGAGACGAAATTTAATCGTTTTAGGGTGAAATGGACCTGGAAAAAAAATGGGTCGTGTGACAGATTGTGGGTCAAGTATTAAGAAGTATAAATAGGGAAAAAAATCATATTTTTTCCCCATTCTTTGTCCAGCCATTAGCCGATAGAAGATGTAACATCCCCCCCACTACCCAGCAAGATATTGTCCTCTTTGGCACAGGGTCACGNAATGGACCTGGAAAAAAAATGGGTCGTGTGACAGATTGTGGGACAAGTATTAAGAAGTATAAATAGGGAAAAAAATCATATTTTTTCCCCATTCTTTGTCCAGCCATTACCCGATAGAAGAAAAGAGGGAAAGAGTTGGATCCTCGACCTTCTCTCTACGATCTACAACTCCACGGTGCTCGAATCCACTCATGCCAAGAGTTAAAGTCGGTCTCCTCGTCGAGGGCTACGCCTACATACCAAAAAAGAGGGTTTTCACCAAAGGTTGAAAAATGAGATTTTGGAAAGGCTTGGATTAGAGTTCGAGTTGAAGTCTTTGAGCTTTCTTACGTGTTCTTTACGCTTCAAGAGGTAGGGTTCCTTCCTACTTAGGTTTATTTAACAACCTATGGTGTAGTATATAATGAATATGTTGATAAATAGATTTTATCATTACCTATATTGTGGAAATTGATGAAATGGGTATTGAAATTGGGTAAAATAAAATTTTACCTTGAAATGGGTTATGAATTAGACTCAATGTGATCCATGAAATTGGATGTTATGTGGGCATGTTATGTGTTTATTTTATGCCTTGGGAATTAAATGTGTTGTTAGCATATATTATGTAATAACATGCTTGTGAATTATTGTTGAAAATAAAATATTGGTATATAGCATTATGAAAAAGTTTGGTGATTATATGTTTCGGACATAAATTGTCATGGAACTTGTGTACATGAGGTTAAAGTTGCTTATATGGCATTCATTACATGTGGGCATGACATTGAAATAGCAATGGTGCATTACATTGCATATGCACGGAGACGTCGCATTTTATGGGTGTGGGTGCATGGTTGGCATCAAACACCACGTAGGTGAATGATGGGTGGACTCGAAAAAGTTGGATTAAATATCCGACTGAGTCACACAGTTGCATGAAAAATAATTGGGTCGGGGTTAGTAAGAAGGGCTAAACTATCCCTTGGGGGAAAGACCCGGTGTTCGGATACGCACTTCCGTTGGTATAAGAGTCTATAATGTGTGTCGTTGTACACAGAACCGTTAGTGGAAGTCCATAAATTCCGTGTCGATTGGGTGACCGTTGGTGTAAGTCCATATATACCCACCCCAAGGAAAACCTGGAGGTTTTAAGTAGTCATTGAGCGTGTAACACCGAAGGCGGGGGCGTGGAAAGCTCAATTTTGACACTCATGGCATAGTGTGGGGGAAGGTAAATGGCCGGAGCTAGAAAAGCTCGTTCTTATACACATAGACTTTGCATATGTTGTGGAGCCGGGAAGGGCTCGGGTAAATTGCATGAATTGGCATCATCTCAATTCATGGCATGATATGTTAGATCTCAACCTTGACTTGTTTATGTGTTGGTTGAAATGATTGTTGTTGTTAAATGTTGCATGTGAACATTACATATGCACTTA